TTCACCCCCCATTGCCAATGTATGCATCCTTGGCGTTAAACGTTGAATATCTGGTCACTGATGTTTCCTGATTCTTCTTTGCAGAACATCTCAGAAGAACAAGTTCAGTCCACTAATAAAAGATGAACTAGACCCATGTCTGAACTCTGAATTGGACCCTCAAACGTCGCTGTTTTCAAGCCGTTCCTGCATAGATTTGGCTTGATGTTTCAGCATCCAGCTGGAAAGCAATTCTTCTCTAGGTTCCAGGTGTCTTGGAGACTATATTGAGTCTTCCTTGCGTTTTCCTGAATTCATCTTCCCTCATAAAGCACAGAGAATTAATTTGCTGTTTTTCATTCTGATCAACAGGAAAATATTCTTTAAAGTGAAGTTATTAGACCTAAAACAATAAACTGCATAAGTATTCACCCCCCATTGCCAGTGTATGCATCCTTGGCGTTAAACGTTGAATATCTGGTCACTGATGTTTCCTGATTCTTCTTTGCAGAACATCTCAGAAGAACAAGTTCAGTCCACTAATAAAAGATGAACTAGACCCATGTCTGAACTCTGAATTGGACACTCAAACGTCGCTGTTTTCAAGCCGTTCCTGCATAGATTTGGCTTGATGTTTCAGCATCCAGCTGGAAAGCAATTCTTCTCTAGGTTCCAGGTGTCTTGGAGACTATATTGAGTCTTCCTTGCGTTTTCCTGAATTCATCTTCCCTCATACGCCTGCAAACGTCCCGCAGAGCGCCGCCACCATCATCATGCTTCACGGTTGGACGCTGTGATTCTGATGATGTGCAGTATTTTGTTTTCGCGAAACATGCCGTTTCATCTAATGGCCAGAAAGCTCAACTTTGGTGTGATCCGAGCGCAGAAGCTTGTCCCAGCTGAATGCAGAGGCTCTCAGATGCCTCCTGGCAAACTGGAGCTCAGATGTCATGTGACATTTAACACAGGCCTTCGCTCTGTCGTTGTTTTCACGCTGTGTGAAGCTCTAGGCGTCAGTTGTTGTTGTACAATCACAGCTAGTGAAGTCTGCAGCTCTGTCAGAGGCGATGATCACCGTCTCCTCAATGTCACTTGGTTCTTGAGGATAAAATTGCTATTTCAATAATGAATTTAATTACTCCAAGGTATAGTAATTGACTTGGAACTATTCTTGTTTTCATCCTCTGCTTTGTGCTTTTCAATTACATTTTTTCTTTTTTATTTAGAGTTGCTAGTTTTTTTTTTTTCATGAAGTGAGTTCTGCCATAATACTGAATGACCAGTTTGTGTGTGTGTGTGTGTGTGTGTGTGTGTAATTTAATTATTACTTTTATGAATTTAAATATAATAAAGTAATTACAATATTAAAATACAGTGCTATATATACACATATGTAATAATATTGTACCTATTATTTTATGAGCGTGTATATACATATACACACAATATTAATTTAATTATTATAATACATTTTTTATAATTTTTATTTTATAATAATAACACATAATTATTATTATTATTTTCAGTATTTATATATATGTAACATGTAAGCCAGGACAAGGAGGAGCGAGAATCCAAATGCAAGCACAGGGGTTTATTAAACAAAAAAACAAATAATCCAATCCACGAACCAGGGTACAATCCACATAGAGGAGTCAGGAACATATTCTACACGGAGAAGGCGAGAGTGTAAACCAGAAACACACGTACCGGAACCAACGACCGACAAACCACAACTGAAGCACAGACCTTATATACACACACAGACTTAACAAGCTAATGACACACAGGTGGAAGTAATCACACAACAATAAGTCCAGGCAAGCCGCCACCATCATCATGCTTCACGGTTGGACGCTGTGATTCTGATGATGTGCAGTATTTTGTTTTCGCGAAACATGCCGTTTCATCTAATGGCCAGAAAGCTCAACTTTGGTGTGATCCGAGCGCAGAAGCTTGTCCCAGCTGAATGCAGAGGCTCTCAGATGCCTCCTGGCAAACTGGAGCTCAGATGTCATGTGACATTTAACACAGGCCTTCGCTCTGTCGTTGTTTTCACGCTGTGTGAAGCTCTAGGCGTCAGTTGTTGTTGTACAATCACAGCTAGTGAAGTCTGCAGCTCTGTCAGAGGCGATGATCACCGTCTCCTCAATGTCACTTGGTTCTTGAGGATAAAATTGCTATTTCAATAATGAATTTAATTACTCCAAGGTATAGTAATTGACTTGGAACTATTCTTGTTTTCATCCTCTGCTTTGTGCTTTTCAATTACATTTTTTCTTTTTTATTTAGAGTTGCTAGTTTTTTTTTTTTCATGAAGTGAGTTCTGCCATAATACTGAATGACCAGTTTGTGTGTGTGTGTGTGTGTGTGTGTGTGTGTGTGTGTGTGTAATTTAATTATTACTTTTATGAATTTAAATATAATAAAAGCGTGTAAACCAGAAACACACGTACAGGAACCAACGACAGACAAACCACAACTGAAGCACAGACCTTATATACACACACGCAGACTTAACAAGCTAATGACACACAGGTGGAAGTAATCACACAACAATAAGTCCAGGCAAAGGTTTATGGGATATGTAGTCTGTGACTGAATGGCAAAGGAGTAGTAAGGAGTGCCCTCCAGTGGAGCTCATGGGCACTACAGCTGGTGATCGTGACAATATATATATATATATATATATAATTATAATACAGTATTATTACATATAAGTATACACACACATACATTTATTTAGTTATAAATATACAAAAATATAAATAAATTATAATAAATAAATATTAAAATGTAAATACAAATAATAATATTGAAATATAATAAAATAACTATTATAATAATAATATATATCATATTAAATATTCTGTTTTATTAGCATGCTGCATTAAACGCATTACGATGGAGCAGCAGTGAAGACATCCAGATTAAACCACCGCACACATCTGACGGTTCACAGTGCAGCTGATTTACGCACTGTTTATATTCTGTGTCAATGGTCCTAATCGCTTTTGAAAATGGTACTTGAGTTCCTCCAAATCAATAAGCGTTTACTTCCAGATGATTCATTTATCTATTACACATAATGAGAGTATTTAAAAAGCAATGAACTAAAGAGGCTCAGCACACAGTCCACTTCAGATCCAGCCTTAATTCAGCCTATTACTAAAACCATTACACACACACACACACACACACTAACACTAACTAATAAATGGTTTTCCAGTCAGCACTTGCTTTTTGGTCAAGCTGTATTTTATTACCGCTGATGACAATTCTCTCTCTCAGTCTCTGTCTAGTGATTCAGAGAGATTACTGTGAAATGAAGGATTTTCTGAAGTTAAAGGGTCAGTCCAGACAAAAGAAGAAAACCCTGTCATCATTTACTGACCCTAAAGTTCCAAACCTGTGACTTTCTTTCTTCTGCTACACAAAAGAAGATATTTTGAAGAATGTTGATCCCCATCCACTTCCATAGTGTTTTTTTTCTTCTGTACTATGGATGTCAGTGGGGACCGGTAGCTGTTTTACACATTCACCAATATATCTTCTTAATGAAGGTTTATAGTGTATTCTGGGTTTTGTACCCTCACGTCTCTGCGATCTTCTGCTCTCTTGATGTAGCTCATGTCTGTGGGCGTTTTTCTGGTCCAACAGGTGAAAATGTGCGTCACAGCACAGCAATCTCTTCAACAACACATGATTTGAGGAATCATGTCTGAATCACAAACACGCAATTAACTTTAAGACTCTTTAAGAAAGCTAGAGGTTTTAGTAGCAGCACTAATTAAATCACCATTAACCGGTAAACACCAACAGTGAGTAAATGCAATCTGAGCTGAATTCGTTATTTCCCATAATGCCGTGCGCACAGGGTTGCTCCCTGTATCTCTGTCTGAATTAATGCACGACTGCAAGATGTGTGTTCATCCTGGAGGTCTAGAAACCTTTTCAGCCCCTCAACAACTTGTCTCTCCTCCCTCCATTTATCTTTTTTCTTCAGCTGTGAAGGGTCCAATCAGACAAAAGAGGTGAAATTGTTTTACAGGCTTACTGCAGAGAGAAAAAGAGAAAGAACATGGGTGAGAAATTAAAGGAGGAATGTGTGGGACATGTTTATTGCTCCGAGGTTTCTCTTTTATGGCTCATGAGACTTCATGCAGTTCTCAGGTGTGTTTCTTGTACAGAAAGTATTTCACGATTTCTCGATTTCAGTGTTTCCAGTTACAAGTACTCAATTTTTGGATTCCGATTACATAATCCAGATTACATTTAATCAGTTACTACCCAGCAGGAAAAGTACTGGAAGTCTTAATTGCTTTTCTAGTTGTCTGTGTGCAAATGTTTCTAACGTTCTTCATTGTAGGACTGAAGTAAACACGCACAGACTGAACTGGGAGCGTCGCGTCCAGCAGAGAGATTGGAACAGAATGGAATTTGAAACGTTTTAGCCAAAAATGTTACCATGGTAAAGGTGTTTTTTGCAGAAACGTTTCAGATTTCGTTCCGTTCTCCGGCTTCGGCAAAAAAAACGGTCTAAAATTGTCGCGTGGAAGGAGACGCTGCACGAAGCCGATCTTTTCCACCAAAACACATTATTGTGATGTTTTCTTCGCTTGTTACAGTGTGTGTGTGTGTGTGTGTGTAATGTCATGGCATGTTACCAGAGGAATGTCTGTGTGGGAAATCTGAGGAGTAAATCTCTTCCGCTCCGAACGCTCCGCAGGGATTCGGCCAAAATAGGAAGAGTCTGTAAGAGTCTGTTCCTGATGATAATGATCACGGCCGTTTCTGTGAGGAGAAAACAGTGATGGAGCCAGTTACATTCAGATGTCTAATTCATAACTCTCAGTCTGAAAAACATTCACATCCATGATGGATAATGACACCACGGGTGAAAACAAAAGAGCTGAGGATCCCTGAAACTAGCTGGAAACCCCGCTGCGTCGTTGTGGTGGTGGTGAATTCAGCCTGATTAATTGCTCTTCAGAAAGGTGTGTTGTGTGTGTTTTCTGTAGGTGGTGTGATGACGAGCGAGTGATGAGCCGCTGTGAGGAATGTCCGTCTGTCTGCTGCTGGTCCTCTTCACTCTGACCGCAAACACTCAGGTCAAAACAACATTAGCTTTGAGACACGCTAGCGTTTAAACCTTTGAGGTTTCTAAAGTTTTTTTTTTTTATGTTTTGAGTCTCTTCTGCTCAGCAAGGCTGCATTTATTTGATCAAAAGTGCGTTAAAAATCTGAAATATTATTATGATTTAAAATAGCTGTTTTCTGTGTGAGTTCTATTGTAAAATGTAATTTATTTCTGTGATCAAATCTGAATTTTCAGCATCATTACTCCAGTCTTCAGTGTCACATGATCTTCAGAAATCCTTCTAATATATTGATTGGCTGCTCAAGAAACATTTCTGATTATTATCCATGTTGAAAACAGCTTCAGATTTCTGTGGAAACTGTGATACATTTTATTTTTCAGAATTCACAGATGAATAGAAAGGTCAAAAGGACAGCATTTATTTGAAATATAAATCTTTTGTAACATACACGTAACATGTAAATCAAGCGTAGCGTTAGTTCTGGCAGGTCACGTTAGTCAAGTTCGCATCAGCTGACTCTCAGCTGATCCCCATCAACCTATGGGAGTACGACACCTATCTTAAGTATTCCTATATAAGGTCCCACAGTAGTATCAGCAGTTTTCGCATTGCTCAATAGCTAATTACCCTCCTCCATCCCCAGCTCCTCCTCTGTCAGTCAGGATTCAGCCTTCTGATTCTCCTTTGAATCAGACTAATTCTAAAATGTGTACATAACATTATTGAACTTTAATGATATCTGCAATACATTTATGTTGGTTCTGTTCTGTTTACCCTGGGGGCGGGGGGGTTATCGCTGCTCTCCCTGCTCATGCAGCCTAGTATGGATGCGCAGGGAGTTCTTGCCCAGAACGGAACCATACCGCCAATCCAAACTGTATGCTTATTGTCAATCATCTTTGACGATAGTGGTCCTGACAGAACTGTAGTTTGCAGTGTCTTTATCTCATGCGAGTGTTCATCAGCATACGCAGATCTAATAAATGTACCTTTCATTTCTTCTGAGGTAAAACTGAACAAAAGCCTCAGGTCAGCTTTAGGTCATTAAATCACATCTGTGTGGAGAGTCACGTTACGTTTCTTCATCTGACCCACACTAAAGCCTCAGCGCCTTCAAGTTTATTCCCTGTGTTTGTTTGCCGTGACCTCTCGTCTCATGTGAACGTTTCTCCTTTTGTGGACATCATTACATGAGATGTGATCAGGTTCCTTCTGGGGACGTAATTTGTCCGTTGAAGGAACAGATTTTCATTTAAGAAAGCATCATAAAATGAATTTCACAATCTTAAAAGGATCTAATCTACTTTAACATCAAAGAGGTTCTACATCTTCAGTTTCTGCGCAATTAAAACGACACAATTAGCGCGAGTCAGATCTGAAGAAAGAGGACATTCATCTCAAAACGCTGCTCAGGTACTTTTGAGCCGTTTATGAGGTGCGCGACCCGCGTTTGAGGAAGGATCTGATAAATGCAGAGCGTTCAACATATGAACGCCAATTAAAATCTTGGAGATTCTTTTTTTGAAGTCTCGTGTCAACATCTCTGATGTTTTTGGGGGAGTTTTTTAAAGCCATTTTATGGTGAGAAAAATGTTTGATGATGATTCAGCGTCCATGTTGTTAAGGAATAATCAATTAAACAACTTTTTTACTGAAGTGATAAATGCTGCTTTGCAAACAGGGTTATTATAATGAACTATATAGACATATTTATTTAAAAACAAAAAAGATCAAAATTACTAAAACTGCAACTAAAATGAAACCAGAAAATATAAAAATAAAAACTGGGAACTAAGTGAAATCTGTTTAAGCTGAAGTACTAAAATGATTAAAACTAAAAAATGAAATAAAAAGTAAAATAAAGCTTACAATTATTATTATTATTATTATTATTAATAATAATATTATTTTTTATTATTGTTGTTGTTGTTTTAAAGAACAACTAAGGACTAATAACAAGTAATAAAGAAGGCAAAAGCACAACAAAATTACCAAGACTTAAACTAAAATTAAAATGAAAACTGAAAAATAACAAAAGCCCATTCAAAATATGAAAAAATACTTCTTCAAAATATGAATATTTATTATATTATATTTTATTTAATTACATTTTATTTTATATTGGTTGTATTATATTATATTTTATTGTATTGTACCGTATCATATCGTATCACATCGTATCGTATATTATATTATATTATATTACATTACAGTATATTATTTTAATTTAATTATGTGTTCATTAGTAGTATTGTAGAAGTGGCTCTGATCCTGTAAATGTCCAGTGTGTTTAGGCCCATGTTTGAAGTGATTTGGTGTTTGTAGGTGTCTTCTGGAAAGTCTCTGAAGCTGCTGCAGGAGCAATGGAGGATCTACACAAATGAGTGCATCCAGAGCTTCATCAGCACACCGCCGGCCGCAGGTCAGGCTCGTGACTGCAGGGTAATGTGTGCAGTGTGTGGTACTTCAGCAGCTGACGTGTCTCTGTGTGTTTCAGGACTGGTGTGTAACAGGACGTTTGATCAGTACGTGTGTTGGCCTGATGGATTGCCGGGCACCACGGTTAACGTGTCCTGCCCGTGGTACCTGCCCTGGTACCGGAAAGGTAATGCGCTAAAAAAAAAAAAAATCCATACGGAGTGAAATTGGTTCTATTATCTGTCCAAATGAAATGCATGTTAATGCCGAACTTACTGTGACAGGACGATAAAATGCAGCGCTTCAGGACACAGCTTCATCAGACAGAGAAATATACATAACACTCGCTGTGAGCATTTACCTGTCAGACTGCTGAAGTAAATGACTGCTGCTCTCTGACCTGCAAATGCTGCATACAGACATTATACATGCCATACCGGAGTCATTTATGACATGAAGGCTTTTTAATGACATATTCCACCAAACTACTGCTTCATGCTCTCAGACGCTCTTGTAAAAGCAGTTTACAGGAGTCTGCAGTTCTCACTTCAGATTCCTAACACGACAGGAACACTGTCCTCCTCACACTCATCTCTGACCTACACCTAGAGAAATGTCCTTTGTCTCGATTAGACAGAGGAATGAAATCTCAACTCTTAACAGGTAATTCCAGCTCATTACCAGCTGTCAGGCAGCAATCTGTCACCTAACAACCTACAGCATGAATGTTTAACACGGAAGAACATAGTAAGACTGCTGCCATGTTAGAAAAGGACAGATGTTATTGTGGTTATTACAGTTGATTAAAAAAAAGATACTTGAAATAAACTCTCGCTGAAATAAAATGAACACTACCTGAAAAAGAAAATAAAGTTTAAATGATTTTATTTCAGGTAATTGTCAAAGTAACATATCTTATTTTCATTTAGTTTAACTTGATATAGTAAAACAACTTAGAATAAATACATACTGTACATGCTTACATACATACTTTAGACATATTTTTTTTTAATTACAATAACTCATACAAAATTACAAAAACACATAAAAAAGTACATTTAAACGAAAATGGAAAATACAAGAATAAAAACTAATTAAAAATATTTTTTTAAATTAAGTGTCTAAAATATGCTAAAATAGCACTGCTTTCAAGACAAGGTGCGAATAAAACATTTACCTGCAAATGTTCATATTTTTTAGTAGTATTATATAAATAGTATTTTAGTACTTGCTAATGTTTTGAATTATGATTTTTTTTAATGAGATTTTACTGTTATGAGTTTTCATTTTAATTTCACTTTTGGATTTAGTGATTTTATGTGGTTTTATATATACAATATATTTATAAAATATAAAAAAAAAAAATTACTGTCAGCTTATTTTATTTAAGCTAGTTGCCAAAGCAACATTTCTAATTAAGCTTTTCATCAGCTATATTTAATTTTAGTTCGGTTTTATTTCAGTTCCCAAAACAGAAACTTTTTAATAGTTTAATTTTAGTTTGACAATAACAACAATGATCTCTTTAATATTTAATGTAGTGTGTACATGCACACTTTGTATGCAAATATTGTCGTTAAAAAAAAATCGATGTAATGCTAATGAGTTTTCCCGCTGTGTTTGTGTGTTTGAGCAGTTCATCAGGGGTTGGTTTACCGCGTGTGCGGCACTGACGGCAGATGGGCTCATGGGAAAAACACCAGCGAGTGTGAGCAGGATGACCCTGGACAGGTGAGATGCGTGTTTAATGACTTGATGTTTCTGAGCGATGACGCTAATGCCGGCTGACCCCTCTCTCTCTGTGTGTGTGTGTGTGTGTGAAGAAGCAGTACGGTCAGATCCTCAGCAAGTTCAGAGCCATGTACACCGTCGGATACTCACTGTCTCTGGCAGCACTGACTCTCGCGCTAGCCATCCTGATCAGCTTCAGGTAAATACAGCATCTACCAAACACAAACTGTAGTTCAGCACTCAATGTTGAGTGGTTTGTGAACTGTTGGTGGTTTGTGAGTTGATGGAAAGATAATTTTTAAAATAAAAGAGGTATCCAAAGGAGGTGTCCAAGTCGCAACATCTAACTACTGGGGTGCCTCAGGGCTCAGTTCTTGGTCCACTTCTCTTCTCTGTCTACATGGCATCACTAGGTTCTGACATTCAGAAACATGGCTTTTCATATCACTGCTATGCTGATGACACTCATCGTGTTATTGCCTAATGATGAATCGCTTGTTGGATAAAAGCTTCTGCTAAATGAATAAAAGTAAATGTAATCAATCAAAAGTCTATTAAGTAATCATGTAGTCAATAAAACGTAACTGTAATCTGACTACAGCTATTCTAAAATGTAATATCATCTAAGTGATATTAGATGATAGCGAGTGTTTGATTTGTGCAATCTGATTACGTGATCCTCATTACATGCGCTGATCACACAGTAATCGTCTGGTTTCTCACAGGAAGCTGCACTGCATGAGGAACAACATCCACATGAATCTGTTCGGCTCCTTCATCCTGCGCGCCGTCTCCATCCTCGCCAAAGATGCGCTGCTGGATCAGATGAACAGCGCTCAGACCGGCCCGCATCACTTCCAGGGGCAGCGCTGGGTCAGCGCTCAGGTACACGTCACCCTTTACAGTGTGTTTGCAGGCAGGTGGAGCTGGATCCAGAGGAAAGTACAGGTGTGCGCAAGGACGTCTTGTTTACTCACTGTAAGCGTCTCAGATAAAGCTCTTCCGATCAGAGTCGTTCTATAAACGACATTGTTTCCTGGCAGATGTTGACTTGCATTGTGTAAAGACGGGGGCAGGCGATATGAATCAGTCAAATACTGCCAGTTAGCCACTCCTAAATGCATTTATGTTGAGAAACTGCACTATGTGTAACTGATAACAAGTTGGAAGCTGATGAAAAAGTGGAAGACTGAATCCAAATGTGAAACTGAGCACAGAAATATGATAGATGTGAGTCAAAGCGAATGCTTATCATACTCAATTAAACAAGAAAAGATGATTGATGGATTGATTGATTGATGGATTGATTGATTGATTGATTGATTGAAAAAACAATGCTAAGCAGATAAGTTGTATTCATAGTAAGATAAATTTGGTAAATTTAGTAAAAAACAAATTGAATAGTTTTATTGCGAAGTATGTGATCTGTTAAAATACTAACTTTATATACCAGATAATAATAATAATAGTAATAAAGATAATACATACATACATACATACATACATAAATACCAGATATCATCAAAACATTTCCATAACAGTGATTAGAAGGCAGCTGTAAAATAAAATAAAATAAAATAAAATAATGTTGTTTTTGTGTTTCAGGCTGACATTTGAAGAATTTACATATTTTTTATGGTTATTTTATTTCTTCCAGTTGCTTTCTAATCACTATTGTGGAAAATGAGTTAGTCTGATATAAAATTATTGATATCTGTTATATGTAGTTTTAATAATATAATATAATATAATGTTCTAAGGCTGCCGCTAATGATTGACTATTAGTTCTTCGAGTAATCAGATGAAAACAAGTATCTATTATTAAAAAAAAGTTATTCCACATCCTGCTCAACATTGTGCTCCAAACAATATCCAATTTGAGGACTGTGAAAAGAAATATAGTGAATTTATGTATTTAGGCTATGCTATGGGTAATCAAATTCACCGTCGATCCTTTTGATTATTATTATTGATTTTTTTTATTAGTTATTGCAGCCCATAAACGTAATTCCTTAAGAGTGATTCAACTTAGTAATATCCATATCATTCATTTTCCATCTGTTATATACTGTTTTGATAATAAATATGATGCAATATTACGATGCACTTCTTGGCCTATATCACATCAGGCGGTCTGTGATTGGTCGGTGGGCGTGTCATCAGAGGCTGAATTTGCATATCGGTGCATGTGTTCCTCAGACGGTGAGCGGCTGCCGTGCTGCGATGGTGATGATGCAGTACAGCGTCATGGCCAACAACTACTGGCTGCTGGTGGAGGGTCTGTATCTGCACAGCCTGCTGGTCATCACCGTCTTCTCCGAGAGGAACTACTTCTACATTTACCTCTGCATCGGCTGGGGTGCGTGAGCCTTCAGCACGCAATCATGCATAATCACATCCTTTCAGAAGCTCTTTTGTCTGGGAGTGTTTTTCTAATAACTGAAGTCTGATCTGCTCAGAATTAGCACAAAGAAAGACCATAAAACAACACTCATTTTCACATTCACCGCGAGGCGTTTGAGGAAACGTTCGGCCCACCCTGAGCCGTTGGAAGCGTTTCTGACGCGGCTGACTTTGAAGAAGTTTTAAGACATTTAAGAAGTCAGCCCAAATTACTAATGAGCTGAGGAAGCATTTGATTGGCTGACACTCCGCTGACTCTATCTCTTGTGTTGCAGGTGCGCCGCTCATATTTGTGCTGCCGTGGATGACAGTCAAGTACCTGTATGAAAATGAAGAGTATGTTTCCTTTTCTTTAACTTTGACTAACAATGGCTCCAAAAAGGGTTTGAACACCTGCATCACACTTAAAACTTCCATTGCGTTAGATGTCAAACATTTGTTGCTGGGTGTCTTTGAATCAGCTGCGTTCTGTTGATTTTAGTGTTTTTAATGGAATTCAAACTGAACTGATGTCTTTTTGTCAAGAGTTGACTTGCTTTTTTGGGTTTCTTGAAAATAAATGCCAATTAGGTTCATATTTAGTATGCAATGCAGTGACATTCAGGTTTTATTTTGTGACTGAAATGTCCAAATACATTTTGGGGTTACTGTATGTAAGCATTAATATTGTCCTGATTTATCAAATGTTTTTTAGTAGATAGCTTATGTTTTAGTGTGCATGACAGCAGGATTATTATTGTTAACTCAAACTAAAACCATAAATAAAAAAAATTTGTTGCTTGAAATAAAAAAATAAAATAAAATACTAAAGATTATCTGAATATATTACGTATAGTAAATATAAAATATAAAAAAATATATATATTTTTTTTTTATTTTAACTAGTTGCTATTTTAGTCATATAAAAACAAGAACTAATAAAAATGGCAGAAACACAACAAAATGACAAATGAAAAAACTAAAACTGAATAAAAATCTTTAATAAAAAATTAAATGATACTAAAACAACAATGCATGTAGAATAAATACACGCATTATATATATATATATATATATATATATAGTTAAAGAACAGAAAAACACTCACACACACCTTCAAGTCAATATGAAATCTAAACGCACTCTGTTTGCTTGTTTCTTGACTCACTGTGAACTATTTCTCCATAATCTTTCATCAAAACACAATAAAACTCGCTCTGCCTATATGGAAGGGCTTTCTTTCTCACCACACAATCAATTCTTGATGGATAACAAAGTCCTGTGCTTCAGATTTATGTTTTTTCTCATTAAAAGTGCTATTTTATTCTGAAATATGTCACATACTGTAACGGTGTATGAAAAATGGGTTGCAAAGAGCTTTCCAGGTTAAACTCAAAATTGAATTCCTTGTGTCACCAGTGTTATGAAAAAATGAATGATGGATTAGTTTTAACAGTTTGACACATTGTTCATGTTTACATAGATGGACTGTGATATTTTGTCATATGCAGATGCTGGGAAAGGAATATCAACATGGGCTACTGGTGGATCATCCGTTCTCCCATTCTGTTTGCGTATCTGGTAAGAGATTCACGCACAGGTTTACGGCCCGTTCTTATCCATGCTACCGCACGGTATCGTTCTTCTCTTAGAAGTGCGCAATGAAGTTAGATCATCTCCTGCTTTAAATGTTTGCGCCGATTCTATTGTGACTGCACTGTAAAAAATAAGTGTAATTTTAACTGTAAAATTTTGTAAAAATGCTACGGAAAAAAACTCTTAATAGGTTAACAGTAAGTTCCCGTACTATATACAGGGAAAAACTGTAAAATATCTAACCAGACATTTCATGTAATTTTACAGTAAAATGCTGTTAATTTGACAGTTTTTAGAAGTAAAAATAACAAATCAATGTATAATTTACAGTCAAAAACTGTAAACTGAGATTCCCAGAATTCCCTGCATGACACTCCACATTTGAAAGTATTTGGTTTAAATAATCATGTGTTTTAATAGTTTTTGTTATTAGTTATGTATATTTGGGCTTTATGTTACATCTTCTGTTGTTTAATGAAAGTTGAATGCATTATTTAAGTATCATGTGTGTTACCATGATGGTGTTTTGTGTTTGCATGAATGAGTCTGTGCACCTTCTATATATTAGCATATACTTCTGCTTGTGGCGAAGCTACTTGTGATGAGCTTTGATTCTTCATGTGGCTTTCTCCTTTATCACCTGCATTATTATGGTGGTTGTCAGTATGTTAAAGGTACAAAACAGATTTTAATAGCAGTGTGCATTGTTGAATTTACTGGTTTACATTACAATTTTCTTGTTTGTAAATTACAGTTTTATACAGTAAAATTTACAGGTTTTGGCCGTATATGTCTTTACAGTTTTTCTGTATTTTTTACAAAATTATTCTAGCAACCACAGCTGCCAAAATAATTTTGTAAAAAATACAGAATTTTTTTTACAGTGTGGCTGTCAGTAGCTATGTTTCCATCCACCTATTTTTATGCACATTTTGGATTATCGCATAAAAAAAACCGCTGGATGGAAACTTACTACTTCTTAAGAAACTTGCCAAGATGCGCATAGATTCTAAAAATGTGCATAAAAAACGTATGCGCACAAGTGAGTAGGATAAACGTTTTATCCGATAAGAAAAAATGTGCATAAACTACGATGGAAACACATTGACCGAATAAATTCCTCCATGCGTATCGAAAAAGTCACGTGACTTTGCGTTATGAGATGGGATAACTTGACTAACCAGCGGACCGATCTACAGCATCTATATGTTGTTTTGGTCGTTCTGAAATGCCTGAGGAAAGTCTGTCATCAAAGTATTGGGTAACACTTTATTTCGATAGTCCACTTTAGACATTCTATTAACAGCAAGTAACTTTGCAACTACATGTCAACTAGCAGTTAGTAGAGTATTAGTAGACTGTCTGCTTAATATCTTCTAACACTTTCTTTGTCAACTAACCCTAAACCTACCCTAACAGTCTACTCTGAGAGTTAGTAGACATGTAGTTGCAAATTAATGAGAGTTAGTTTACATGTAGTTGACATGTAGTTACAAAGTTACTTATAGTTAGTAGAATGTCTAAAGTGGACTATCGAAATAAAGTGTAACCAAGTATTTCTGTATAATTACTGTCTTCCACGACTGCGTTCCCAAACAGCAGGCATCCACCTCCGAAAGCAATGACCGCATTTATTGCATTACATCTGCTCTCTCTGAAGCGCAAGTAATTTATTACATATGAAAATTATTATATTCAGTGGCTTCTCCTAGTTTTCTTAGAGATATTTAGTGCCAGTTTATCAGGAAGTGACAATTTTGTTCTCTTTGACTTGTTGGATGGAAACGGTGCTTTATTCACAAATGTTTTATGCAATATTCCAGTTTTGCGCATAAGTTAAATTTGCATCTTTGGATGGAAACATAGCTAGTGTGATTCCAACTATATCATCCCTCTGTGGTGTGGATTTTGCTGTTCTTTTAAAGTTAGAACGATTTTTTAAAACTACATCTTTATCGTTATGTCATCTTTGCTGTGAACGGACCATTACATCTCATCTCATTCAATCCATATGAAACTGAACCCAGCTAACAAGTTTTGGTTCCCAGAACGTTCCCAAGAATGTTCCCTATTGGTTAGCCAAGAAAGTTTTCTTAACGTAAATAGAACGTTCCCTTGAGGTTATGGGAACGTTCCAGAAACGTTCTCAGTAGGTTATAAAAATAAAACTTAAAAATAACCTGCAGGGAACATTCCCGGAACGTTCCCTCTAGATTATACATATAAAAAAACAAAAAACTAAACTAAATAACCTGCAGGGAACATTCTCTTTAGGCTATTTAAAAAAAAAACCTACATGGAAGGTTCCTAGAATGTTCTTATTTGGTAACCAAATGGGAACCATATGGGAACGTTAGGGGAACGTTCTGTGTTTGTTGGGAAAAAGCCGTCATGCATCTACGCAGAAGATCCTGTGTGTGTGTTGCATATGGATGGGCTGGAGTATTGAGATTCAAGCAGTCTCTAATATGATTCTGCATTCGCAGGCTCACATTAGACGCGTTCGTTCAGTGAGTGCCTCGGGCTCAGGAACACTTTATGACCTCCGCGCGTCACTGAGCGTTTGTTCTGTGCACTCATCAACACATAGAAAACTGCTTGGGGGGCTTTACAAAGTAATAAAGACAATCAATGATTTATTTCACGAGTCACTTGCATGTTCTGATTTCAAAACTGCTCCAGACACCAGACTTTTGAGTGATATGTGAATCTATGATTTCTGTTTTTAGAAAAGTATTTGGAAAACAATGTTGATATAACTTGGCTAATATGATGCAGAATTAAACACACCTTCAGTCATTATTTTTTGCTGTTTTAGAGTATTTAACTAGAGGGTACTGTTATGTATTTTTTTTACTTTATGCTCTCATTATTTACATGCACGTATATCTGTGCATTCATGCTTTTCATATATTAGATGTACATTGAAAAAATGTTCAAAAAATCTATACAACAAATCATCAGCTTTTCAAAACTGAAATTGCCAGATCTCAATTGCATTTCTCTTGTGTTGTTTGTGTGGATCAATTCAATTATCTAAACTCAGTAAGAATCAAATATAAGATAAAGCCATCAGTTTGATTTTATAACAGTGGTTTGTTTTACTCACTTATTGATTTGTGTTTGTCACAATAATTCTGGTCAGGCTTTAGAAGTTTCACGGAACAGAATGGAAGCATTATAAAGTCCAAATAGAGAGATCCCATTAATGTCTATGTGAGGATTGTGATAATGCGTTATGCTTTGACATGTTATCATGTACAGTAATGAAACAAAGATATTGTGGTCGTTTGAATGATACACATCACATCAGTCCCAGAGATTTGAACCTCTCTCTCTCTCTTTCCTTCTGGAATAGATTAATTTCATTATATTCATTCGTATAATAAAGATCCTGATGTCCAAGCTGAAGGCGCATCAGATGAGATACACCGACTACAAGTTCAGGTAAACACCGCCGTCTTTTATTTTTCATGCAAGCAGAGCTCATGCTCTCATTAAATGTGTGGTTCTCTCTCTCTTGTTCGTTCTCCTCAGGCTGGCCAAGTCCACACTCACACTGATTCCTCTGCTGGGAATTCACGCCATCCTCTTCACCTTCGTCATCGATGAGTCCGTGTCGAAGGAGTCTCTTCTCAGGCTGATCCGCCTCTTCTACGACCTCCTGTTCAGCTCCTTCCAGGTCAGAGGGCAAAGGTCGCCCGCCCACCCACCCACCTTCATCATCAGATCATATCAGTCAGAGCGCTTAAAGAGATGCTCTCTGAATGGATTGTATCTGCTGTGAGATGAGAGCAGATGGTTGAGGTTCATGTGTGTTGTTGTCTGTAATCATAGGGTCTGCTCGTGGCCATCCTTTACTGCTTTGTCAACAAAGAGGTGAGAGATGTCTCTTTTTCGAAAAGCATTACTTAAAATCACAGCTACACATGATCTATAGCATCTAAAAGTAGCATCCTTGTGGAGCCTTTCATGTTGAGCATGAACATTTGACCTTTTTTCACATTTATTGCATTTGATGGACTTTTTTTTTTTTCGCCGTTGGTTTTTATTTATTTATTTTGGGTCGTATCGCTCTTGCTGTGAATAGTCCTGTGACTCAATAGTCTGTGTTTCTCCGGGTCTCCAGGTCCAGAGCGAGATGCTGAAGAAGTGGAAGAGGTGGAAACTAGGCAAGGACATCGAGGAAGAGTACCGTCACACCCACAGCCAGACGCCCCATGCCAAAAGTGGCAGCATGGCCCCGGCGATGACCCACGAATGCCCCGAAACCCCAGAGCTGGTGGCCACAGCCTCGGCAGAGTCCCAGCGTCTGGTGACGGGCCTTCAGAACGGAGTGAGCTGGAACCGGGGCCGCGTGAGGCTGCAGTTGACCGCCGAGCCACAGGAGGGTGCTAGTAACTGCAGCTCTCTGACAGAAGACATTTGTCTGGAAGAGCGTCCCCTCAACAGTGAGTGCTCAGCAGCGGTGACAGAAACCAATGTTTGAGGAACGTGACGCTGATGGCTGTTTTTAACACTTATGGATCAATGAAATGATGTTACATTCCAGATGTGGTCTTCATGTTACCAAACAGGCCTCTATCATGAGAAAGAATGGAGATGTGGATCTAGTAACCTTTAAAAGCAAACCGCAGTTATCTCCTGAGTTGGTAAATTACCAAATAGTATTATTTGCAATATATATTTAATAGACAATGGACGATTTTGGCTGGGAGTTTTAGTTAATTTTTATTGCAAAAAAAACATACTATTCTTTTGACTGAACAATAACCTGGAAACCACCCAGAATAACTTATTTGTGGTGGAAATGCCAATTATATTTGCCTTTATAGATGCTTTTAACCGAAGCGACTTACAGTAGAGGAGCATAAGCTATTTGTTACAGAGCCAACAATATTCAAAGTATTTAATAACAGGCTTATTAGAAACCTAGATTAGCAGAAAGGAGAACATGTGTGTCTTCGGCTGCTGCTTGATGGTTGTGATGGTCTCAGCAGTTGGAGTGGAGGTTGGCAGCTCATTCCTACAGAGAGGAGCAGAGAGGGTGAAGGGTCTGGAAAATGTCTTCATGCCTCGCTGTGAAGGAAAGGCAAGGCACTTGGTTATTTACCCACTCAGGAGTTAAAATCCCTTTCATTGTGTGACCCTTTAAGAAACGCTCACCAAAACATCTCACACTGGCAGATAAGCTGTGAGCATCCATAATTCAGTTCCATTTTTACTGAACACTAACCACGGACAGAAAAGGAAACTCATCGCCTGCTCATCGTCAAAACACCTGAGCTTGATGTTTCATGTGGGGTGTTCAGTTGGTATCGTGACCAGGTGCTTTAATAAACGGTGTCAGAGCCTCAGTGGAAGCTTTTAAACTTACAGTGGTTACTCCCTGTATTACCATCCACAGACATCACTGGAGTGCCATTCTTACAGACTACCCACAATTCATCGGGACAAAAAAAAAACAGCTCAACTGAGAGCTCAGGAATTATCTTTACGGTTCCCATGTGAGGCTTCTTGGATTGTGGCGAATCTTTAACAGCGTTCAAGACCATTACTTAACATGACATGCTTAATCATTCTGTATATGGGTGAAAATAGTGTATTTCAACGCAAGACTGAAACAGTCTCACTGTTCATGATGCATTATTTACTGAAGCAAACCACGAGGTACGAGAGGTTATGTTAAAATAATAAGGATGCAAAACCACATTTTAGTGTCACATGCCATCTTCTGGCTTGAAGATGTTGTCCATAATATAAAAGAACGTTGCTATGCACCAAAATAAGCAGAAATGCAGTGATTTGATGAGCAGGTGTTTTGTGTCATAGCTGTTTTTATATAGAAGATTTATATAATGTATTGACTAATCAGAAGCCAATTTTTGTTTTTCTTCAGTTTATTAGAATCAGTTTAGAATGCTGCTAATCATTTCCATTTTTTATGCCTATAAGGTTGACACTGAAAAGAGTTCAAACCTGACCACTGAATCTCAAGTGACTCCCACCAAGCTTCAGTAACGTATTAATAACGCATCATAAACACAGAGCTTCGTATGGAGTCCTGGACGTCATGTGATTGTGATCTGCGTCATTTGAATGTTTTTTTGTGCTTTGTGGAAAGAATTCGTGTGGAAGAGTTAAACTATGGTACATGTGTAAATCAATTTTGTTATTGCCTGCGAGAACAAGAAGTAAAGAGGGAGCAAAAAAACGTCGAAACCGAAAGGAAAATTGTAAAAAATAAAACTCCCTGAGTCTGGTTGTTTATTCTGTTGTGGATGGCTTTGATTTACTGTGGCATGATGACTGTTTCTTATGGAGATCTCTGGGAACTCGCTGAAGCCACTGTGGCTCAATAAATCACTCACGACACACACACACGGCCATTATTACCACTGCAAACATCCAAATATCATCCATCATGCATTGATTAGCCAAGAACAAAGCAGCTTGTTCAAAAGTATAAGTGAATGTGCAAATGTGCAGTAATCAAAGAGAACCTGTTTGTGTGTGTATCTATCTATATACACATTTTATTATTTTATTTGGATCCACAAGACAAGCAACAAAAACCTTGGGAAGTCAGATTGCAAGATGACAGGTACATATGGCTAACATACATTCACAAGTCCTTATATTTATAACATTCAACATCTTCGTTTCCATATTTGCATACTCCCTATACCTCCCTGGCTGAAACTGAACAAAATTTTGTTAGTTTTTTTGCTTTCTTTTTTTGCAATCCACTCAACTGCAGACCTTTAATCACATTCTTGTGCACATGACCTAAACTTCTAAATACTAGGGTAATTTTAACTTAGTGATAGTCAAGTTGATGGATGGCTTCAACCAATGGCTGATATTTCAGCAGTTTGGAAAGATAGCAGGTATCAAAATACAGATCAAAACAACAGCCAACCTCAATGACAAATACAGAGTTCAAAACCTTGTTTACAATCACAATGTCTGGAGTGTTTGGAATGTTTTTGAAATAGTCACTGTCAGACGTGTTGTCATAAAACCAGTTCAATTCAACAGTAGTATGCTGGTAAAAACTTACCTGTCTTTATGTATTGTTTTCAAGTCCTTTACAATCAAATCAACCAGGCGATCGTGTCTGAACACATACAGTCCTTTGTAACAACAACATCCATTTAAGATGTGGGCAACCGTTTCATTTTCCTGTTGATTTTGATGTAACCGACAGTAGGCGTTGTAATTTGACGGGTACCATATTGACAGATTGTACATAGTTGGAAGACATTGTAGTCGTGCTTTAATCATAAAAATTTGAATATCCTCTGACATTGAAAAGTTTGTCAAAACAGAGTGGGAAGCCGATTGGAGAAGTGCTCATTTTCCCTGTAGTTTCAAGCCCATCCAGTGCTGGGCATTTTGGGTTTTTCTGAGGTGAAGAAGTGAGGCTTACATTATTGGTCGATAGTTGACGAGGTGTACTTTCGGTGTTGAGAACCACTAGAGCAGAGATACGCGAATATGTTATTATGTTCTCATTAAGAGCCACTAGTGGTCCGTCAGGTCCCTGCCAAGAGAGCTGCAGTCCTGTACGCTGGCAAAGATCATTTAAATCCAGCCAAACAGAGCGTACTCCAAATCCGGCTGTTTTGATGTCCAATTTTCCATTCGGTTTTAATTTAAATCCAAGAAACTGGGGCTTGTTGAACGAAGCAGCTTTTCTACATTTTGCGCCGCTGTAGATGTAGAAAAAGTGACTCACGTGCCAGCTCTCTGACAGATGTATTGTTGTTATTCAGCATGTTAAGAAGATGACCTGTTCTGGAGGCAGTATAAATCCATTCAGTGTTTGGGACACCGAGACTGGAAAATAATATCTCGAGTTGAATGTCTATTGAGGCACAGCCATTTTGTCACTAGCTTTACCATTTCATCGTTCAGTGTTGAAAGTGTGCATTGTGGAATATGAACATTCATAAACAGATGTTGAATTTTAGCTGTTGCAATCAATCCGATAGCCTCGCTCTTCATCATTATGGGGAGAGGGGAAGAGTCAATCAGTGCAAGTCCTCGGGTAAACTCATGACACAGGTCTATAACCTGTTCCTCCCAGTCACCGCTAACATTGAATGTATGCCCCAGATAAGAATAGGTTTCATGACGTTTATATAGACGGATAGGTTTATGTGCTAAAGCAAAGCCCGGGAGTTTGTCAGACTTTGATCTATACCATCTATTTCCTCCACTCCATCTTTCATAAAACGCAGCACACTTTGTATGTTTCATATCCAAACCAGACCACCTTATGAAGTTATCTGTACGAAGAAGCATATTATGAATTACACTCTCATCTCGTGAAGATATTTCCACATCATCCGCATAAGCTTGCACTGGATTTGGAGATCACACACCTGCTGGTGAGCACTGGCACATCCATTTCAGCCACGAGTTAATCACTAGTATAAAGTTAACAGCGCTCCAGGGGCAGCCGGTCTTAATACCGATCTTGAGAGGTATAGGATCAGTTAAGGCACTTCCACATATGACTTGAACATAGGAGTTATTGTAGACGTCCTTGATCAGCCGTGGCAGTCTTATTTTATCCAATGCATAAAGCATAACATCATGGGAAAATGATCCAAAAGCATCACGAAAATCCAGAAAGACAGTGAAGAATTTTGCAGATGAATGTTTAAAATCATCAATTCCTGTTTTCAAACAAAAGACGTGCTCATTCATTCCCTGTCTGTTGATATATGCTTTCTGTTTTGATGAGAGTATTCCTGTCTCCACCAACCAGGGGAGGATTCTTGAGAGTAAACATTTCATGAATACCTTATATACTGTCGGTAGTAAGGATATATCTCTCCAAGTTGACGGATCGTCGGGGATATGGTCTTTCTTGGGGATTCGATGGATCAATGCCCCTTTCCATGCTTCTGGTACTTTACTGTTCTCAAGACAGATGTTAAATATTTTAGTCAGAACTGGGCACAACGTGCTTTTAACTGATTTCAGCGTTTCATACGTCACACCATCAGATCCGCTTGCTTTATTATTAGGTAAATTACTAATCACTTTCTCTACCTTACTAACAGTAAATAGCGAGGCGTTCAATTGACTGTATTGCACCAGATTTAATGACCCTGTCCATGGCGGCACACTTAATGTACTTTCTGATCTTTCGGGCACACATTTGGAAGTATAATAATTTTGCACAAACTGCTTGTTATTTGTACAAGCTGGTGCACTTGGGTATTTACTGTAGTTAAGAATAACTTGGATTGCTTTAGCTTTTCTATTTTGCCATAAATATGCTAATTTGTCTTTGCCCGCCTGGTTTTGCTCTTGAGTTGCACTCCGTGACGCCCCGAGTGCCGGCTGAATGACGTCCCGCAAGAAGCGCAGCTCCGCCTCAGTCCAGCTTCCAAGGGAATCCCGGGTTTGAACTTGAGGGTGGCCTCTGTTAATTAATGGCAGTTTTTTCAATACACGGATTGTAAACTTTAAAAATGGTAGTCCAAATGGTCTCCCATTTCGCCAAGTAATTGAAAAAGTTCCGTTCTTGAAATAAACTCCATTTAAGATGCAGATGAGTTTAATCCATTCTGTCGGCCTTTCTCCAGAGAAAACGAAGTTATGCCTATCCTCAAAGTGTTTCGAATCCAAGGTCTTTCTCCAACCTTTTTCTTGATTTTGAAATGAAATCCACTCATCCTGCCCTAAAGCTCTTACGAGACTCGAAAAATCTGTATTAGTCGAACTATCATCCGCTGAGTGTTGTTTGGACACAGCGTCATGTATAGTCCATGCTTGTTTGTAGATCCTACCAGTCTGTAGGGCATCTTTAAACACGCTCTTTATAGTTGTTATAAGGCACATTGTAAAAAGTAGTAGCCCTATCAAAATGCACTCACTTCCCTGCATTAATGCTGGGAGTTACAACGCAGTTACACACAGACACACACACACACTTTGCATGTAATAAAGGCCTGCCCAAGTGAGGGATGTACCTCTTTCATTAATTCTGTTCTCAGGTCATTTGCTGGAAGCGCATTTCCTCTCTCTCTCTCTTTATGATGCAGTCATTTCTGTTAATGAGGCAGCTATTTCATCTATGTTTCAGCGTGCTGCTCGAGCATATGGTCTGATCAATCCCCTCTCCCATCACAGAGTCCGACCTCACATCCTGACAAGCGTTTCACAAGCCCGCCGTCGTCATTTCCACTGCATTTCTTTTACGGCCCAGAATGGATCATCTGACGGTGAATGGCTCTGAGATTGTAATTGTGTCAGTTACAAAAGATTCTGATATATTTCCTCGTGCAGTCAAACTGGGGCTGCTTGGATCCTTCATTTACCGCGGTGCTTGACATCAGCACACCTGATTCTAAATGTCATGTTACAATGGAAGCTACAGCACTGTGCAGTTTAACAAAGCATTTCTGGACAGTCGAGCAAACAGGTTTAACACATTTGAAATGTTCTTAACATGAAACTTTGAATACAAACTTCAGCCTTCAGCCTCTCTTCATTATTCAGCTTTTGTTGTCATATACAGTAGTTAATGCATTACATTAGGCTTTTACAATGATAGATTTCTCTTGGGGATTTCACAAAATGTTCTCTCTCTCTCTTTAAGTTATATAAATGTTAGGGAAAAAAACATTCTAAATTATGGAAAGTTATTTTTATTTTTTTGATAATCTTTAAATATTTGATATATGTTGTCGAAAACGCTTTTAGAACAACATTCTCTGAACGTCCTTATGTTGTTTGTGCTAGTTGAACATTCTAAGAAACGTTTTTTTTTTTTAATATTTAAATAACATTAATGTTCTTAGAAATGTTAATATACATGTTCAAATAATGTTAGTGGAATGTAAGAAACATTTTTGCAACCTGTAAATAATATTAAAATCACAACAAGAAAACTGGACATTTTAACAAAAAATAAACATTCAAATAACATTTTGGATAAAATAAAGTTAGCAGAACGTTGTGAGAAATGTTTTTGTAGCCTTTAAAAAACGTTATAATCATGACAAGAAAACTGGACATGTCAACGCTTTAGAAACATTTTTTTTTTAAATGTTCCCACAATGTTTTCAAAGTTTGTTACCTGGGTTAATGTGTTCACATCATCAGATTAGATTGTAATGAACAAACGGTGCAAACATAATGATCAGAGCTCACAAACTATGCATTTAGATCTAAATCTGACAAAATGTATCTATTTAGGATCATCGTAAATAATAAAAAGGAATTTATTTGTTGG